GTGTGTGATTGGTTATAATGCGCAACACTGTAAAAACACCTAAAATGAAATACGGTGCAACATGAGCAGATCTTAATTTAATGCGCAGTCGACACTTTTTATTCATTTACACTTTGATAGCAACAGATTTAATTTGTTTGATTTGTTTGTGCAGGGTCATTTTTGCCCCAAGACCCCGTGGCCGCCTTACACACACTCCGGCAGGCACCACAGGCACCACTTGGACATCCAGCCATTGAGTGATGACAGTCTGCTATGTATCTTGTCACCACGGTAAGCATGGAGGGGACCAGAGCATATTACAGTGTCTGACATCCTACTTGCAAGTTCACACACCTCTTTAATGTTATTTTTAGTGATCTCCGACTGGTGAAGTCGAACATCATTAGCGCCGGCGTGAATAACAATCTTACTGAATTTACGTTTAGCATTAGCCAGCACCTTTACAAAAAAGCCAGGGGTAAAATCCAAAAGTTCACACATAGCACAGTGCTAATAATGATAATAATAAAATAAAACTATACACAAAAACATATACAAAATACCCTCAAATTATATATATAAACAAAAATGATGGGAAAGTGTCCCAGTTTTAATACCTTTTTGTCACAAAAGGTAGACAAAGTTTTAAAATAGATCCTAATATCCTTTTGAAATTGTTAGATGACTTATGTCCCATCTACTGTCACAGACTACTGCATTTTTATCCTATTTTACATATTTATAGTTGTCTTTTGACAAAGTTGATTATTTCTTGATGTGGTTTGTAGGCTGGTCTTTTTGACAGGTGAAGCTAGCCAAGATTAAAAAAAAATTAAATGCATAACTGAACACTACAGCCTTTGTGCTTTTTGCAAAGGGCAGCCACTGGTCAAAGAACCAGTGGTCGACAAAAAACAAAACCTATATTTAACATTAGCCAATTTGGATAACATGACCTGGGATTTGGCAGCATAAAATCTGGTACCAAGTATGGCCTGAACATAGGAAACAATAAGCAACTTTCATCCTGCAATTACCGAAAACATCACTGTGAAGATACTCTCAACTTTATTTGGAGGATAGGACCAAAGCCTTTTGAAATTTCAAATATAACCACATTTGAATAGTGCAAAACCATTGTCAACTTCAAGATTTTATGAATAAAACTAGCCTAATATTTTTGAGCCCTAGAATTTGCTTAACCCCAAAAGTTTGGTAAAGTCCAGGTGGTGAAAGTTGACATACTGCACGAAGACATGCAAGACGCAAACCTAACTACTTTAAAAACAGAACTGTGCCCATCCTTACACAGGCAGTTTTTAAAGACGGAGAGGTTCATGAATAAGGCTCAAAGAAAACCTTTGCCATCAATAAAAGGAACTACTGTACGGTTTTAGAAAAATCCAGCTGCAAAGCTTAATTCTTTTTTTTTTGTTAAACCAACACTAATGCCATAATTTTACCACCTTGGTGGAATAGTTCTAAATTTAGCTGGAAGGTAGAGGCTGCATAACCGTTGTCTGTTAGGATAGATTGTGCAAATGCAGATAAGTCAAACGAAATTTTACCAGAAAAATAACTGGTTTTATTGACTTGAAACAAGACGTGAAAACGCCACATTTAGAGATGAACAAATCTACTAAAAGACTTCAGTGCATAAGCACATCTTGGTTGAAGCAGGCAGGTAATGACACATTGAGGGATGGACTCCTCAGCAGGCAGAGAGCTAGGTTCCCAGCAGGCAGGTAATGACACATTGAGGGATGGACTCCTTGGCAGGGTAGGGACTAGACTCCTGGGTGGGGAGAGCACTGGACTCCACAACTGGATGGGGGCTGGACCCAGTCAACTTGCCCCCTGAGATTGATGGGAGAGTGCTGGATTCTGCAACTATGTGGGGCTAGGTTCCCCAGCTGGGATAGCACTGGACTCCTTGGTAGGCTGGGGGCTGGACTCCTCAGCAGGCTGAGAGCTAGATCCCCCAGTTGGGATTGCACTGGACTCCTTGGTAGGCTGGGGGCTGGACTCTGCAACTGGGTGAGGGCTGGGCTCCTTGTCAGGCTGGGGCCTGGACTCCTCAGCATGCAGAGAGCTAGATCCCCCAGTTGGGATAACATTGGATTCCTTGGCAGGCTGGGGGCTGGACTCCTCAGCAGGCAGAGAGCTTGGCGGGCTGGGGGCTGGACTCCTCAGCAGGCAGAGAGCTAGGTTCCCCAGCTGGGATAGCATTGGACTCCTTGGCAGGCTGGGGGCTGGACTCCTCAGCAGGCAGAGAGCTGGATTCCCCAGCTGGGAGAGCATTGGATTCTTTGGCAGTCTGGGGGCTGGACTCCGCAACTGGATGAGGGCTGGACTCAGCAGGCAGAGGACTGAACTCCGCAGCTGGGAGAGCGTTGGACTCCCCAGCTAGGATAGCATTGGGTTCTTTGGCAGTCTGGGGGCTGGACTCCGCAACTGCGTGAGGGCTGGGCTCCTTGGTGGGCTGAGCACATGACTTCTCAGCAGGGTGGGAGCTGGACCCTGCAGCTGGGAGAGGAATGGACTCCTTGGCAGGCTGGGGGATGGACTCCGCAACTGGGTGAGGGCTGGGCTCCTTGGTGGGCTGAGCACATGACTTCTCAGCAGGGTGGGAGCTGGACCCTGCAGCTGGGAGAGGAATGGACTCCTTGGCAGGCTGGGGGATGGACTCCGCAACTGGGTGAGGGCTGGGCTCCTTGGTGGGCTGAGCACATGACTTCTCAGCAGGGTGGGAGCTGGACCCTGCAGCTGGGAGAGGAATGGACTCCTTGGCAGGCTGGGGGCTGGACTCCGCAACTGGGTGAGAGCTGGAATCAGCAGGCAGAGGACTGAACTCTGCAGCTGGTAGAGCGTTGGACTCCCCAGCTAGGATAGCATTGGATTCCTTGGCAGGGTGGGGCCTGGACTCCTCAGCAGGCAGAGAGCTTGATCCCCCAGCTGGGATAGCATTGGACTCCTCAGCAGGCAGAGAGCTGGATTCCCCAGCTGGTAGAGTGCTGGGTTCCTTGGCAAGCTGGGAGCTGGACTCCTCAGCAGGCAGAGAACTAGATCCCCCAGTTGGAATAACATTGGATTCCTTGGCAGGCTGGGGGCTGGACTCCTCAGCAGGCAGAGTGCTAGATCCACCAGTTGGGATAACACTGGACTCCTCAGCAGGCAGAGGGCTAGACTCAGTCAGCTTCCCATCAACCTCAGCGGGTAAAGTGCCTGACTCCTTGACAGGGAGAGGGCTGGACTCTGCAGACAAATTCACATCAATACCTACAAAAAACTGGTGCAAGACATGTCAGCAAAGATTAAACTAGCTTTCCTCATGGTAAAAGTATCATCAGAAAATATTACCCTTTTGGATAACTAGCCCAGATACATTCTTCAAAGACAGCAGAACAGCCAAGTTGCGACAGGGAGAGGGCTGGACTCTGCAGACAAATTATACCCATCAATACCTACAGAAAACTGGTGCAAGACATGTCAGCTAAGATGAAACTAGCTTTCCTCATGGTTAAGCATCATCAGAAAATATTACCCTTTTGGATAACTAGCCCAGATACATTCTTCAAAGACAGCAGAACAGTCAAGTTGCACTTTGCTACCACTGGCGGGTTTGGATTTTGGCTTGCATAAGGACAGGACAAGGGGCCATCTGGAAAACAAGAGGCAAGAACTGGAGTACAACGATACATATCACAACTTCAAAAGAAATAATTTTGGAACTTACAAAAAACAAGAGAAACAGTTTAAGACCTGATAAACTTAAGTATGCTTCTTTGAAGTGTTAATTGTGGAACTACACCAGGGGTGGACCTGTATAGTTTTGGACTTTGCCCTCCCACTACACATGGCACAGAGATCAGAACAGTATTCATAATTTGAATAGCTAAAACTACTGTAAGACTTGTTTGCACTCAGTCCCTGATTTATGCATTTAAAAAGGTTTACATTTTATTTTTTAAGTGCCACATTTAAAATCCGATAATCTCAGATGAGACTTGGGTTTTACATTTGAGGCACAAACATATTTAATGCTAAATTTAGATCTGAACTGCATTTCGGGTGAAATCACAGACAATGCTGTATTTCTGTATTGTTATATTGTGACTATATTGTTTCACTAATAACACAGGAAGTCAGTATGCCCCATTAAATCAACGACATCATGTGAAAAAAAAGAATGCCATCATGACCACACAAATTTAAAAACCTTTCTTCTCCAAGCGCACTTGCTCACTACCAGCCTGGTATAAAGGATACCCAATCACAAGTTTAAAAACATTTCTTCTCCAAGCGCACGTGCTCACTACCAGCCTGGTATAAAGGATACCCAATTGGAGAAGCAAATCCTGAAGACAAAATATAAGGTTAAAGAAACACATAAGAAAAAAAAAACATATTTTAAACACTACATCAAGGTGGGAACAACTTCACCATTGAGCACCAATTGGTGACACAAAAACACCATAAACATAAGATTTGAAACAGCCATCTTGAGTAAAGTTTGAACAATCAACAAACACTGCTTTCTAAAACAAGTGTTGAGTCAGGGGTTTTAAAGTAACGCAGATTTTCATCACCTGGGTTCCTCGTTAAAGTGAAATTAGTAAGAGAGGACCCACTCATTCTCCTGCAGACATTGGTTGGTTGAGAAATTACTATTGTGATTTTCAAAATCTTCATAGATGTCAATTTTATTTGATTTTTAGAAGATAATATTACTTGAACTTACTAAATTAATCCAACATGGTCTATACTGTTTCTCCTACAGTATGAAGGGTGGTTGAAATGTAGGAGCATTTATCTGCCACAATAACAATGAAGATGAATTAAAGTGACAACATCTGAATAGATAAATACATAAAGTGCCAATAGAGTCAAACAGTGAATGATCACAACCTTAAACTATATACACATTTAGCTCAGTACTGGGTGAGATAAACTGCTTTTAAAACAACTGTCAAACTGTTAAAGTAGTCAAGTTAGTAATGTCTCTGCTTAGTTACTCCAGAGCACTGTTTTGGACACTATCAGGGGGGTATTCCAGAAAGCATGGGGCTGTTTCATAAAATACGCTAAGAAAAACGGGGATTAAAGTCCAAAACCTGACTTGAAATAACCTATGAAATCAATTGGGACTAAAGCGGTTTCATAAACGACAATTTAAATTCACGCAATCTCACTAATTCGATCCAGGTTCAATGAGTCAAGATAATTTGATGTGCTTGCTTATTCTTAAGCAGCCCTTAAGGTCGCTCATGGATCAAATTGATCCACTATGGCAAACAGCGAATATTTGTGCTGTTTAATGCATTTGAGACGTTGTGTTTTCCTCAGTGCATAACGGACACGTCACAGGTATATTTTTCACATGTAAATGTTAGAAAGTCATGCAAATATATTTATTTTACTGTCAGGAGTGGGCGAGGATTTGTGAGTAAACGAGCGCTACTGCGCGCTGTAAATGTTAGAAAGTCATGCAAATATATTTATTTTACTGTCAGGAGTGGGCGAGGATTTGCGAGTAAACGAGCGCTACTGCGCGCATGCATGCTAAATATAATAGCGCAATAATTCTGAGTAAAATATACTTTCTGCTAAAATATTTGTTGTTGGACATTAAATGTGACATGTAGAATTTTAATCCTACATAGGTGTATTTTAATTATAGCAGTAATGTATTTGAATGTTATTAATGACTAGCTACTACCTAATTACTAGCTCAGATTAGTTAAATATGTATTCTTCTTATCAGTTAAAATGTTGTCTGATTTCTATTATTTATTTTCATTTTTAATTCATTGATTTGAACTTTTAATTTAGTGTTTTTAATGCTTTAAAGAGCAATTTTGGATTGTGAATGTGGCGGGCAGTGCAATTTTGAGACACCAGCCTGAGTTTTTACTGGTAAGAAAATCCGACTATGCCACCCTAGGAATTAAACCCAGGGAAAAATACTCAAACCACTCAAAAGTAATGAAGCACACAGGTTCGGCTCCCTCATAGAATTAGGCAATATGGACATCACTTAAATGAAGCAACTCCTCACAAAAGGGGCATCCATACCAGACAGAAGTAAAGACAGAAAACAATGAAACCTTAGAAAGATCGAATAGTTATCACCTGAGATGATTACAAAAGACTCGAACTCAGTAAATGGTCACATACAAGTACAGTTGCACTAATCGATGGCTGATTATGTGCAACAAAAACTACAACCACAAAACTTTAATATATTTTACAGGAATAAAGAAAAGAAAAATCAAATCAATTCAACCAAACAAACTGTACTTCCACAAAAGAAAAGAAAACAAAATGGTTTAAATCAAAGAAAAACAAAAAGACAGGGGCCAGTTTTTATCTCGTATATAAACGAAAAGCGATGGTCAAGCCTCCCATAACAAACCAAAAAATGTGAAGCAGGGCACTAAAATGGCACGATAAGGAACAGATAAGCATTCCCCTTCAATTAATGGCGATGACAGCGTCTGTATAAACAGCAGC